GTGTTGTATTGTGTACTTCAGGCAGCTGAGTAAAACATTGCCAACCAATCCTGTTGAAGCATGCAGTGTGAGGGTGACGTAAACACATGGGTTTGATTTGAATTAAAGGTACAGTAACTGACCCAACAGCAACCATGTTATAAAGCCATTGCTACCTGAAGATATAGTAAATGCCTTTAATAACAGAGCATTGTATTTTTGTCACGCAACTTCCTCATCCAGTAGGAGTTGGTGACTCATTGCTGCCGTGCTTTAGGAGTTTGTCATCTACAGGTAAGAGAATACTTTAGTTTTTTAAGCTCTCCTTAGTGAAACCAGCGCTGTTCTGATAGAATGCAACATTAAGAAAGAAGAGTAAATTCATGTCTAAATCCTGATATTAAAATGTTGTTGAAACTGTTTTAAATAGGCATAGTTTCATATATGCCGTTTTTGAGGCTGTTGATGGTACTACTGAATTTAACTGTGTTTGTGTTTGTCTTCCCTCGTTGACTTTGTGACTTGTGTCACAAGGTGCATGGACGAGACAGTCATGATCAGTTTAAGTAATCTTATGGTAAACTCAAACAATGGATTATAGACAAAGGGGGTATTTGTAGTGGTAGGATTGTTTTCAGGATGTTTCAAACTGGACATACTGGAAAATTAGAAATGGCTGGTCAGTACTTGTGATCTATAATGTGTCAGACCAATACAAACACTCATAACATGTAAAAGCATTTTCTGTGATCCTGTTTATCAAAGAAAAAACTAAAGTAATTTACTGAATAGTTTTTCACTACAAAACTCGAAACACTTAAAAATATCTTTAGGTCGAATTATACACTTTCTGACACATGTTCAGATATCATTTACGAGTGGTGATGTTGCGTCCAACCCATGTGATTACGATTTCAAATGAATGTCTGTTCAATACTTTTAGGGGATAAATATCTAATAAAACAATGTTGCTAAAAACTGTATTACTTGCACACTGTTCAAAGCTATAGGTACCCTCGAAGAGTATCCTTGAAGGGCATTAATAATTCTGGCGATATTCTCACCTCTGCCTTCTCTTTAGATAATGGAGCCGATTCAATCACCTGAAACTGCAGACATTCAGCCACTCTCTCCCTCTGTTCCTGTTCCTCCCACCCTGAGAGATGGAGAGTGTTACCATGTCTTCATTAGCTACAGCAGCACTGACTGCCAGTGGACCCACTGCCTCATCGACCAGCTGGAGGCCTGCGGCCTGCAGGTCTGCTACCATGAGCGAGACTTCACTCCCGGCCGCACCGTGTTGGAAAACATGTCCGACTGCATCCAGGAGAGCCAGAAGGTCCTGCTGGTTCTCAGCCCAGAGTTTGTGAGGAGCCGCTGGTGTCTCCTGGAGGCCAACATGTCCTTGTTCAGAGACTGCCTGGAGAGGAAGCCCATCGTCCCAGTGCTGCTGGAGCCAGGAGTCTCTGTTCCTCTCCACACCGGAGTACTTTGGTGTACTTTTCCCACAATAGTTCATCAGAACTACGATATATTTGCGTTCACACCAAAAAGCCCCAGGAACTAAAGTAGCTCAAATGAGTTCGTCCGACCCGCTTTTCAGTCCCTGCTAGAGAGCAGGGACTGTTGTGGGAGAAAATAGTTTGTACGTCTGATTGGCTGTGCGGAATGCAAACCACGCCCGTTTGACTCTGAATTTTTTTTTGGAAGCGGCCATTGTATTTGCTCGCTTACCCGAAGAGATTACTTTTGTGAAAGCAGTTATTATAGCAACACTAAATAAATCATCGGAGCGGTGGAATTGATGAGGATGTCTCGGCGCTTCTGGCGATTTACTCGGAGGACGCGAAGTGCGGCATTCAGAAGCTTCTACTGAATGCAGTTTCTGTGGATCAGCAAAGTTAGCAGACCTGGCAAAGTCATGTCGTGACGACTACGAAGGTAAAATAAAATACATGCACTGCACTGTTTTAATCTGCACAATACTGGTCTTAGATGTACTTTTATTTGCTCAGTAGATCGAGCTAGCCATGCTAGAACTTGCTAACGTTAGGTCCAAGTGGCTAACAACATCTAGCTAGCTAGCTATTCTCAGCCGTGCCTGCTATGAACACGTTTTGACTTGTGAATAAGTGTGCAATGTTCTGTAATTTGCTTCACTAACTCATGGCACTAATCGTGTGTTTCAGGCGAGGTGTTTCTCTCAGGATTAGAAACTAGTTTTCCCCTCCGGGATAAAACGATAATATAACGTTAGCAATTAGCATGATAGCTGGACATAATGCTACCTCTGTATTGTTACCTCTAACAATACATTGTAGTTGCTATAATTTCAAGTAGTTTGCAACATTCATTCTACATGTTAATGGTAAAAGCTTAAACAGTTGATTACCTGCATGCCACAAAGACTGATGTTCTAATATTTTTGCACATTTAAGTAGAAATGTAATTGAAATTCTATTTACTGCCTAAACATTGTTCCTTGTCATAGTATTATCCTAAATAGTTTGACCTTGTTTCCTCAGAAGGCTTCTCAGACTACATGGAGGATCCCTCAGAGAAACACAGTTTCCACGTTCAGTTCCCCCCCGCTGAGAGTAGGCAGCTCCACACCCTGCGCCCGGTCAGCGGACACCATCAGGACTACTATCTGATCACAGAGGATCCCATCCTGACCGCTGCTGCCATACTGCAGCAAACAGGAGGGAACGGAGGTGAAAACACACTTTATACATTTAGATATGTGGAGCACAAAGAAAAGCATTGCTAAAAAACATTTAGCAGCTAAACTGTGGATAACAAGTAAACCACATTGGTTTGTTATTCAATATTCAAAAGCTTTTTGAATCATTACATGTCACTTGTTAGACGCTTTTATCCAAAGCTTACATACTCAATACTGTGGGCAATCCCCACAGGAGCACTTTGGGGTGAAGTGTCTCAGGGACACAACAACATGCTGACTGCAGTGGGGTTTGAACCTGTGCTCCCCTGATCCGAACACCAATGCACTTATCCACTGCGCCACACGCCTCCCTATCATGTCCTGAGAGCCCTCCATCCCCCAATTGTTAGTGCCTTCACCATTTACAATGTTAATAGTCAAATCAAAGGTGTTCCCCGTGTTCCTCCTGTTGTGTGCCTGCAGAGACAGACTCAGAGGTGGAGATCGCCCACAGTGATGACTCTGACGTGGGGGGGCTCTCTGTTATGGGCTGCTCCCCTTCCGGTATTTGGACAATGTTGTCTCGTTGTTGCTATTAAACTGATCTTGTATCTTGCATATTTCACCTTAGGAAAGTGGGCACACGATGACAGCTTCCTTGACACCATCATGGCGATGGACCGCCGTGCCATGGTCAGCAAGGAGAATGAGGACCTGCGTGCCAAGGAGATGCACGACGAACGGCTGCTGCATTCACACAAGGCCCAGGAATCGAGGTGGAGCAACAAAATACCTTTCAGGCTGGGCTTCTGGCAGTGCTAAGCGAGCTGATTAAATCCAACAGGCCTTCAATACAAAAATTAAGAAAAACTTGTCGTTGATAAACTGTACAATGACTTGTTGGGAGGCGTGTGGTGCAGTGGTCTGGTGCGTTGGTGTTCGGATCAGGGGAGCACAGGTTCAAACCCCACTGCAGTCAGGATGTCGTTGTGTCCCTGGGCAAGACACTTCACCCCAAATTGCCTACACCTGGGACAGTTAATTTTGTATTATTGTGATTATATATATATATATATATATATATATGCCACTGTTATTAATACTGACACCTAACTTTGCACTAAGGTGTGTCTGCTGCTGAGCCTACCTATTGTTATTATATATATATATATATATTGCCACTGTTATTATATTGTGTTGATACTACTGACACTTATTGATCTGCTGCTGATAAATAAAAGAGAACCTACATGCACAGCACTAGCATCATGACTGTCTTTGTTTAAACCAGCAGCAGTGCACAGACTAACCTGTGTGTGTGTAACGTAGTTTTTCAGGTGTGTATGCTTAACATGTATGTATTTATCACAGTAAAGATGGTATACAACAGTTTTTAACCTCATCCCATTGTCTTTAACACACATTTAACATAATAATATACTCATTAATATACAAATATACAGTATGAGTACTGTTTTGATACTGACATTTAATCTTTGCACTAAGGTGTGTCTGCACTATTGTAATTGTGTCTGTTGACTGGTAAATAAAAGAGAGAACCAAATGCACTACAAAAGATCAGCTTTATTGTCAATTTACAATTTCCATGCTGGAGTTGAAAAGAGCCCTTGGACATTCGGAAATCTTAGATCCACTGCACGTTGGCACCACCTCCCACCAAGCCGATGTTCTATTGTTCACCCAGAGAGAGCGCGGGACACGACGCGTTCCGTAGTATTCGCATATCTGGAAACACATACAAAGACACAAATTAGCCCTACATAACTCCATAAATCCAACATTAGATAGTATTAATGTAATTTAATGAACGTACCATTGCTGTTCTTTGGGCGTGATAACGATCATCATGCTCAGCTCTCCTACGGCGAAACATGTCCATAGCGTGTGCTTTTCGTGGTCCAATCCTTTTATTAAGGCTTCTTAACCGCCTCCGACTCAGCATTTCTATTGCATTTGAATGGTCTATTTGTATTTGTGGTTATTGGCTTAAATAACTCAGTTACGAAGCTGTATAACACGACCACCAAAACGTCAACTCCATACCGTGCCTGAGGTCGGAAGGTAAACAGAAGCATACAGCGGAAGCGGAAGTTTTTTTTCTTCTTCTTCTCTCGGTTTTTTGGCGAATTGCAACTTTAAGGTGCATACCGCCACCTACTGTACTCGCCGTGAAGTTGTTTGCGGCCTGCCAGGAAACCCAAAGCAGAAGAAAAAGAAGTGACGTCAGCGGCTCATTTGCCTAATCCACCCCCAGGAACTCATTTTGGTGTGAACGCGATCTGCTTTAGTTCATCAGAACTAAAGAGCTCTCATGAACTAAAGTTCTCATGAATTACTGTGGGAAAAGTACTTGGTGTGAACGCCCCTAATGAGTCTCTTTCACAAATCTTCACCTGCTTCACAAAAGCAGAACTGTGAGGAGGATGTTTCTCAACTCTTACTTCCTGACTTTACTTTCAGTTCCTTTCCATCCGCACCATGCGATCACTCTTCATTGTAATTACTGGAATTAATGTTGTCTAAATCAGGTACGAACATGCATTGTTTTGCGAATATTTTAGTTTTGTGTGAATTTAGTTTTGATACGTAAACTGAGCTTCATCATTCTGTTGTTTTTAGAAACATCAATCGAGGTATGAAAGCTTCTGTGTCCTCAAGCTATCTTTTGGGTGAATCACCTTCCTGATTGACTTGTTCTTCTGTTATTTCCAATGTGTATGTTTCTTTATATCTTGAATGTTTAAAACTCTGACAAACTCTGTAAGTAATCTTGTTTAATTAATGTTTTTTATACAAATAGGCTAATTATGATGGAAGCAGCAGAGAGCTTCTTGAATACGGATTGTTATGCAGTGAGTGACTGTAGAAGAAAGCTTTAAAATGTGTGATTTTGTATTACTTATAATCAACTGAAAATCCTTGCCTTCTACTTTTTACAGTGTATTGTGTAATTTGTAATCATAATATTACTAACAGAACTGAACTTTTCTGCAAACCTAAACTTGTTTGAGAGCCTTTTATTTTATATTACACGTGGGAGTATCATGATGACTTGGAGGAACTTCTACGTGTATTGATAATGACTTTATTTTCAAACATTGGATCCGAACCAAATACAAATGTAATACTCAAGGTTGAAAAAAATGAACATATTATCGTTTGCTTTCACTGTGGATAAAAAAAAAATATATTTACTTTTCATTATTCTGAGTCTAATGAGAATGATGTGCTTTTCTAAGATGGCCGCTTTTGGGTGATTGAAAACTTAAAAAAAAATTCCTTTTCTAGAAGTATGCTGACAGAGCATCTCGTTAGCCTTGTTGATACAAAATAAAATATGTGTTTTATTTCTTCTGAAGGTATTATTAGTAAGTACTGTAAATGTGTGGCATCTATGTTCTGCCAATATCACACTCCAAAACACAGAGTTCGGAAAACAACAATACAATTATTTAAAGACAACTTAAATCACTGAACTTCATTCACTGAGTCTCAGTGGGACTTTCAAAGGTGGTTTAAAAGGTGGAGATATATTATCATAAAAAACAAATGCCTAGAATTGTTGAAAAAATCATGCCTACAGTATATCTCTAAATCATATTTTCTTTTTACTTTAGTTTTTTTTTGTATAGATAATGGAGCCAATTAATTCACTTGAGACTGCCGACATTCAGCCACTCTCTCCCTCTGTTCCTGTTCCTCCCACCCTGAGAGATGGAGAGAGTTACCATGTCTTCATTAGCTACAGCAGCACTGACTACCAGTGGACCCACTGCCTCATCGACCAGCTGGAGGCCTGCGGCCTGCAGGTCTGCTACCATGAGCGAGACTTCACTCCCGGCCGCACCGTGTTGGAAAACATGTCCGACTGCATCCAGGAGAGCCAGAAGGTCCTGCTGGTTCTCAGCCCAGAGTTTGTGAGGAGCCGCTGGTGTCTCCTGGAGGCCAACATGTCTTTGTTCAGAGACTGCCTGGAGAGGAAGCCCATCGTCCCAGTGCTGCTGGAGCCAGGAGTCTCCGTTCCTCTCCACCTCTGCCACCTCACCTACCTCGAGGCCAACGACCCCGACTTCAAGAATAAGCTGCTCAAGGTGCTCTGCACACCCAACCAGCAGCTTCAAGGGTCCACTGTGCTGCCCTTTCATCCTCCCTCCATCTACAACGGGAAGGCCTTGCAGCCGTTGGATGCTGTAAATGAAGACAGTCTCAGTAAATGGGATTGTGGTCAGTTCAGTGACATGGAGGTACCAGACCAGCTGCGCCTGATCATTGAGGACCAAGAGAAGTACAGAAAGGCTGTGAGGATGGTCAACAGTGTGTCTCAAAATAAAGTTTGGTTCCGCCCCGTCTGGGTTAGAGTTTTAATTTACCTTTTTGGCCTAATATTTATTTTCCTGATGGCTTCATTCAATACATTTTCAACGGCTATATTTTTCCAAGTCGTTTCAAAGGTATTCAGAGACTCTGTTGTAGCATCTGTGCTTTTTCTTTTGAGCTTTTTCTTGGTTCCATTGGGATTGTTTATTCATATCTGTCTCTGGAAGAATGATGATGAAAAGTACATAGTGAGGGAAATGAAAAAAGCTATTGGCCAAGCAAACATCATCCTCTCTGAGGAGAAAGTGTTAATGGGCCGTCGGTCCAACTCAAAAATCTCTCTGGTGTATGTTTCTCTGAACGGTTGCAAACATGAGTTTTCAGAAACGTTTTCCGATCAGGTTTGTGCTGAAGAAATGTTTCAAAAAGCTCTGCTGTACTTCTCATCAGGTTACGCCTGCTGCCTTGCTCAAAGACACTTCCCCTTTCCTCAGCCCAGCTCCACCGGTCACCTGGAGGGAGGGGTGTGTTTCTGTCAGTATGTGTCCCAGCAGCTGAGTGTGGACCAATGGGAGTAGCAGTGTCCACATGTGTGACCTAACTATTTAATAATAACTGGATCATCATGAAATGTCTGCATTATTATAAGACACTTAGTTCCACTGAAGGCACAGCGACTTTATTCATGTTAGCCCTCAGATATCAGAATGAGTCTCTTTCACAAACCTTCACCTTCTGCTTCACAAAAGCATGAACTGTGAGGAAGATTTTTCTCATCTCTTACTTCCTGACTTTATTTTCAGTTCATCGATCACTCTTCATTGTATTTGTTGGATTTAATGTTGTCTAAATCAGGTACGAACATGCATTGTTTTGTGAATGTTGTTGTTATTGTGTGAATTTAGTTTAGATACTTAAATTGAACTTCATCATTTCTTTGTTTTTAGAAACATCAATCGAGGTATGAAAGCTTCTGTGTCTACAAGCTATTTTATTCATGAATCACCTTCCTGATTAACATTTTCTTCTGTAATTTACGATTGTATTGTTTCTTTATATCTTAAAGGTTTACAACTCTAAGAAACTCTTTACTTAAGCTTGTTTAATTACTTATTTACACATACTGTAGTCTAATTACGATTTATTTTGATGCAGCAGAAAGCTTATTGAATACTGATTATTATGCAGTGAGTGAAGGTAGATCAACATGTTTAGACTTGGATTTAGTTTTACTGAAAATCAACTGAAAATCCTTGCCTTCTTCATTTTACAGTGTATTGTGTTATTTTATTTAATCCTTATTTGAATAACATATCTCAAGTTTTCCACAAACCTACATTTGTTTACGAATCTTTTGTTTTATATTACATGTGAGTATCAGGATGACTTGGAGAAATGTACACAGATCATCCATAACATTATGATCACCTGCCTAATATTGTGTAGGTCCCCCTTTTGCAGCCAAAACAGCTCCTACCCGTCGGGGCATGGCCTCTACTAGACCTCTGAAGGTGTGCTGTGGTATCTGGCACCAAGACGTTTGCAGTAGATCCTTTAAGTCCTGCAAGTTGCTGCCTCACCGGTTTTCCTTCCTTGGACCACTTTTGATAGCTACTGACCACTTCAGAACGGGAACACCCCACAAGAGCTGCAGTTTTGGAGATGCTCTGACCGAGACGCCTCGTCATCACAATTTGGCTCTTGTCAAAGTCGCTCAACATTTTTTGCTTGCCCATTTTCCCTACTTCCAACACATCAACTTTGAGGACGAAGCGTTCCCTTGCTGCTTCACATATCCCACCCACTGACAGGTGCCATTGTAAAGAGATAATCAATGTTCTTCACTTCACCTGTCAGTGGTGATAATGTTATGGTTGATCGTGGTATATATGTATTGAAATTGTCTTTATTTGCAAATGAGGAATCCAACCCAAATACAGTTGTACTACTCAAGGTTGAAAACATGTGCAAGTTATTTTTTGCTTTCACTGTGGATTTACAAATTAATAATTGACTTTTCATTTGACTGAGTCTAATCCAGCTCTGAGAAAGGGACATTTGTCAAAATGATGTTACATTGGTAGTTATAAATGCTTTATGACAACTGAAATGTATTAACTATAAGTTATTATTTATGTGGACACCAGTAACAGTTAAGAAACTGTGAGTAGGTGGAATAGTCCTTGGTCAGATCACAGGGACCGGTGTTTATTTCTGGGGGGATCTGATGGATGGATAGACAAGTATGGAGAGTTCCATACAGGTACAATGCATTTGGATGGAGGAAGTGAAAAGTGGCTTGAGAAAGGGACAGAAGAGTTCAACTGAATTAATTTAGTTTATTTAAACAACTGAGGCAGCCGTCACAGCAATATGGTTAAACCCTAAACAAACTGAACATTATAACCTTGAGGAAAGTAGGTCTGTTTGCAAGACCTTGTGCTTATTCATATTTATGTGTAGTTAACAAACTGGAAATGATGGGAAATGAGAACCAAACCATGTTTGTAAGAAAGCCCACACATGTTATGTATATGGTGGGTTTGTTTGATGTTATGTTGTGGGTGTCTTTCCTTTGGTGTTCCCGGTGTGTTGAGCTGTTGCATGCGTGTGGCGTCATCGGAGTTGCCGTGCCTGTGTGCCGGTGATGTTTACTTTCGGTTTCGTTTCTGAGACGACAGTATCTTTTCCTCCCGTTTTTTCCTCGGCATTGTCTTTGCTTTTGTGCTGTTGGGTGTCGTGCGTAAATGCATAGAGTTGAGTATCTGTTTGTGCAATGTGAACTTGTCTGTGTTTATATGTGGTAAATAGTCATGTATGTTGATATCTTAGTAGGCAGTAATACAGTAATGTCTCTAGTTTGTTAGTGGTGCTGGATGCTAGTGGTAGCTTAGTTGCTAACTTCTTTGTATTTGTGTGTTTCACTCGCTTGTGTGGTTCAGTTGTATTGATTCTATAGTTGTTTATTATAGATATATTGTGATAATTATTAATGCTATTCCTTGTTTGTATTATCGTTACAGACCACACACACACACACACACACACACACACACACACACACACACACACACACACACACACATGGCTAACAGCAAGAACAAGTATAATTAAAGACCACTAAACTGGGAAAGTCTGTTCTCCGTGTTCTTTTACTGGGACACACCCATCCACACCGTGCCATCTCTAAACCCAATTTTCTGGAGACCCCGTCTCTTTTACAATGTTGCTAATAACTATATTTTCGTGCAAAGCTGTATCTGTGTATACTTCGTTTTGCAGCTTTACAATAACCTCGAAGAGTATCCTTGTAGGGCATTAATAATTCTGGCGATATTCTCACCTCTGCCTTCTCTTTAGATAATGGAGCCAATTAATTCACTTGAGACTGCCGACATTCAGCCACTGTCTCCCTCTGTTCCTGTTCCTCCCACCCTGAGAGATGGAGAGTGTTACCATGTCTTCATTAGCTACAGCAGCACTGACTACCAGTGGACCCACTGCCTCATCGACCAACTGGAGGCCTGCGGCCTGCAGATCTGCTACCATGAGCGAGACTTCACTCCCGGCCGCACCGTGTTGGAAAACATGTCCGACTGCATCCAGGAGAGCCAGAAGGTCCTGCTGGTTCTCAGCCCAGAGTTTGTGAGGAGCCGCTGGTGTCTCCTGGAGGCCAACATGTCTTTGTTCAGAGACTGCCTGGAGAGGAAACCCATCGTCCCAGTGCTGCTGGAGCCAGGAGTCTCTGTTCCTCTCCACCTCTGCCACCTCACCTACCTCGAGGCCAACGACCCCGACTTCAAGAATAAGCTGCTCAAGGTGCTCTGCACCCCCAACCAGCAGCTTCAAGGGTCCACTGTGCTGCCCTTCCATCCTCCCTCCATCTACAACGGGAAGGCCCTGCAGCCGCTGGATGCTGTAAATGAAGACAGTCTCAGTAAATGGGATTGTGGTCGGTTCAGTGACATGGAGGTACCAGACCAACTGCGCCTGATCATTGAGGACCAAGAGAAGTACAGAATGGCTGTGAGGATGATCAACAGTGTGTCGGAAAATAAAGTTTGGTTCCGCCCCGTTTGGGTTAGAGTATTAATTCACATTATTGGCATACTATTGCTTTTATTGGTGGTTGCATTAAATGTATTTTCAATTATTATATTTGGAGACCTTTCAAAGGTAGCAAATGTGCTCTTAATTGCTAGCTTTTCCTTGGTTACATTGGGATTGTTGATTCATATCTGTCTCTGGAAGAATGATGATGAAAAGTACATAGTGAGGCAAATGAAAAAAGCTATTGGCCAGGTAAACATCATCCTCTCTGAGGAGAAAGTGTTAATGGGTCGTCGTTCCAACTCAAAAATCTCTCTGGTGTATGTTTCTCTGGACCGCTGCAAACATGAGTTTGCAGAAACGTTTTCTGATCAGGTTTGTGCTGAAGATTTGTTTCAAAGAGCTCTGCTGTACTTCTCATCAGGTTACGCCTGCTGCCTTGCTCAAAGACACTTCCCCTTTCCTCAGCCCAGCTCCACCGGTCACCTGGAGGGAGGGGTGTGTTTCTGTCAGTATGTGTCCCAGCAGCTGAGTGTGGACCAATGGGAGTAGCAGTGTCCACAGATCCCAACATGTTATAGAGATTACAAAGCATAACATTCCCTTTTTGTTGCAAAATGTGTTATCATTTAGTTCCCTTTCATATTAAATGCAATACAACGCTATATATGTAGGTGACACACGTGTATATTGACTGATTTTGCAACAGCTTCATATTTTTTGTTTTATCATTTCACATTTCAAGTGTTAATTAATTCAATAAATGTTTTATATCAAAAGCACAGTGATTATTTCCTTAATTCTATACTATTTTGAAAGAAAAGTTGCTAAAAACACAGAATAATTGAGGGTGCAAGGTCACGGTTGGAGAGCACTCATTATTATATCAAGAAAATAAACACCTGATCCATAACATATAATATTTTCTAAAGCAAAAACACACATGATGGTGGTTCAAAAAATAAACTTAAAATATGTTAATTATTGAATCACTCATAAATGCAGAATATACCATTAATTTCTGTTGATCATCATCAATTAATAATCAAGTCACTATATGACTCAATGTTTATTCATTAAGAATATTAAGTCAAATGTAAGGTAAAGTTGATTTCAGGCTCATGCATTTGTCAACTTCTATGAAAATAGGTACTGTTCAGAATGAGAATAAGCTCTTAATAATAAATGAATGAAAACTTAACTGGTCGTCATATACAAACATCTACATGTTCTTGCATGACCAAACAACAACAAATCTTCAGATATGTCACGGGTGTACAAGGAGTGGACCCAAAAGCATGAAGGCAGACACAGGATTCAAGTACACAAATAGTCTTTACTTGAAAAGCAGTTTCAGTACAAAAATATGAAGAATACCAAATTCACAGGATCAGCAGATCCAGAAAAATACATACAATAAATAATCTACACTAATGCTTACCTAACAAAATACTAGAAAAATACTACTACCTGATCTTACCTTATACTATAACTATAGAAGCGGACAATGACTGTAACGATAACTAGATGCAATAGGAAACCGTTGGAGCGCTCGGCATAAGACACAAGACAATCTGGCAACAGACAAGGGGAGACAAGGGGAGACAGGACAATATATACAAGAGGTAAGTGGGCACAGGTGGAAACAATCAGGGGCGAGGCAGACACTGACGATGGCGGGAAAACAACCAAGGCAGGAAGTAAAGGAACCTGGAACAAGACAAGGGGTGTTTCTCAATCGCGAGTACGCTTGCTTGGTAGCACATGTCTGCCGAGCATCTTGCTTCAGAAGCGAGGCAAGAATACTTCCTGGCAT